GGAATCATGATAGGTTTGTTGAAAGTGTTATGATGACCGGGAGGTGGTCGCTGGTTGTGACGTCGTCTGTTGTGATGTGGTGGTGTAGTTGTGGTCTGTGATTTTGCTAAGACTATGTCTGGTGTTGTTACCGTGTTATGTGCTATATATGTTGGTGGGTGTGGACCGAAGTGTGTGAGTCTGCCTTGTTGTATGAGTGAGGCGAGGCCTCTGCCTACAGTGTTTGTTTGGTTGTAGCCGAAAAGAGGGTGTTTGCGTTAAGGTCTCCCATGATATATATTGGTTTATTATGCCTCAGGAGCTGCAAGATGTCAGGTTCTGGTATGTAAGGTCTTGGTGGAATCTATAATGTTGCTAGTATAATGGATCCTTGTGGTGTGTTTATTTCGACTGCCAGTAGGTCTGAGTGAAAGTTATTAATGATTTTGTGTGAGATGTCGTTTCTGATCGCTATTTCTACGCCATCGCTTCTTTCCTGTAATTTGTTAGAAGAGTAGGTGGTGTACATGTAGATCTTGAGTGGGTTGGTGCTATTGAGCCCATGGTTGTTAATGAGTATGATGTGTGGGTCGTGTCTTCTGTATGTGTTGCACAGTTCAGCTTTCCGTGTTGTCCAGTGTAATACATTGTGTTGTATAATGGTGAGGCGTAGGTGTAATGTGTGGTGTGTCATGTGTACTATTTTGTTATTCATTGCCCCTGAAAAGGGGTTCAGGGGCAATGATGTTTTACATGTGGGCTTGCAGGAGGACCACAAGGATCTCCTTCGAGAGGTCATTAGGGAGAGCCAAGTGAATGGTTGGTTCAGACTTAGTCTGCTTAATTTCTTGACGGACCTGGTTAATAAGCGGTTTCCAGGTCCTTGTAGCTTGCACAGCTTCCTGGGCAGTTTTCTGTGCCACAGTCCTGTATGGCTTGGTCTCGATTTCTTTTTTTCTCCCTAATTTTCTCTTAGATCTTCATGGCCGCTTTTCAGGTGGGGCAACTGTTGGAGTGGGTGCTGGAACTGCACTCTGTGTATCTCGTCTTTTTTCGGCTTTGCAGTGATTTTTTAGATGGCCATAACCGTTCATGCATTGTTTAAGGGGAGTATACCTTTCAAACTCGATTTGCCAGGGGCCAACACATAGTTTGAAGAGGTATATCCCCTTCTCTTTAATCTCCTTGGCCATGGTGGGGTCAGAGAACCTGACCTTGATGATATAATTGAGCTTCATTATATATATGTGCTCAACTTGGGTGTCATCCTGCGAGAAGAGCTTCTCGGCATGGACGTCGTCCTCAATCAAGGCTAGGGAGCCGACATGAAGGGTAAAGTACCGAAGTACTCTGATCTCAGTACTAAAAAGTGCATGGGCTAGAATATCTCTTTTTCTCGGGGAGGGGGACCCGAGAGTTTTGATTTTAATTTTAGGCATGGTCAGTGGTACATTGGTCAGGGGAGATGGCGGGTGAGTGATGTGATTGAGATGCGAGGTGAGAGGTGAGACGATAGAGAGAGAGAAAGTATAGAAAATAGGAGCCTATACTCAACCCCCCCCCCCCCTAGTGGCAGACTAGTTGCGTTCTCCAGTGCACAAGGGGATTGGAGCTTTGTATTGGGCTACTCCCTTATTGCCAAACCTTGCTACAAAGGGACAACAGGTAAGCAGCACACCACCCAGACGAATACAAAAATCCTCGAGGGATTTATGCAGGTCCAGGTGACCACAAGAAGGAGGAAGGAATTCAGTAGGAATAGAAGCACACCTAAAGGTCACCTTAGACTGCTGGGCCTTTCTATACAGGTTTCCCTGTGATAGAGAGAACTGTGGGTCTGAGGAGAGGTGTAATGTTCCCTTATCACCGTCAATAGTAAGAAGGAGATGCTAAAGGCAGAGAAAAAAAAAGCAAACAAACTCTGTGAAAAGCAGAGATAATTTACTGTACATTTACTATTACTTTAATGCGACTACAGAATAATAGCAGGCGAGCTCGCGAGGAATATTTGCTATTATGGTGAGTCGCTTTGCATTGACTGGGTGATGGTGGGGTTTAGGGTTGATAAAGAGAGCTTTTGTTTTTGTCGCCAGCGAGCGAATCATATCTGGCTAAGTGATTGCAGTCATCGGTGTAAAGAAGCGTCAGTGAATCGGGAAATATGGGGTCGGGGAGGTCGTTCGTGTATAATATGTATATGAAATTTTACCTTTGAATTTTAATTTTAGTTTTCGGTCTGCTATGCAGCTTCTTGGATGATTGGGGTCCGGGAGGGACTCCTGGGAAAGGGAGACATGGCATTCTCGGGAATCAGCGGAACAATTTCCGACGCTGCCATGTCTCCCGAGGTCTCCCCTGACGGGGAGGATGGGGAGTGGGTCCCCAGGGGGAGCGGACAGCGAGGTAGACCCCTTTACGACCTCAGGACCAAGGTCGATGTGGAGGCTATCGTCGCTGCTGGAATCCCCGATGATGGTATCGTCATGGTGACGATGAGGAGCGGAGGGCTCCGGGGTTTCCGTGAGCAGAGGGTCTTTTTTGTCTTTCTTTTGGTGCATGTTTTGTGGTGAAGGAAATTTGCGTTTATGTTCATTTGTTATTTGTAGTTTTTCCTTGTGCAGTTTTGTGTTGTGGTTGTGGGAGTACGTGTGCGTGTGAGGTAGAGGGCTGTGGTGATGTGGTGGGCGCCACTCTAGCCTCGGTGTCTGTGTTTGTTTGTGTGTGATACTCTGGTATGTATAGGTTTTCGTCTGCGAAGGTTCCCTCAGGAATCTCAATGTTGGGGAAACCGTTTTTTTTTGTAGTGGTGTGGGGAGTGTCTGTGAATCTTTTGGCGTTGTACTTGGCAGCTATTAAATGTACGTGTAGTATTATTTGTATTTTAGGGTTGTTAGGTACGGGAGTGTTGTTTGGGGGGAAATGAGGTGGAAGAGGCCTTGTGTTTCCTGAGGGAATCGTGTTGGAGCGAGTTGTGGTGGGTGTAGATGTCTGTAAGGGTCGGAGTGTTGAGCGTATGTTGGGTTGTTGTTTTGTTTTTGTGCTTGTCTTTTAGTCTTAATAATTTCCTTTCGTTTGGGGCAAGACCCGCTGACAGCGACATGCTGCCCTTCGCAATTGCAACATTTTGTTGGTTTGTTGCATGTGGCGAAAAAGTGGCCAGTTTCACCACATCTGCTGCATCGCTGTTCGTGTGTGCATGTGTGTTTTGTGTGATTGAACCTGTAGCATTTCAAGCACTGGTCAACCAGAATGAAGTTCTCAGGTTCTACGTTATAAGTTGGGACGGATGTGTTTAACATCACAATCCCACGAGTTAGGAGTTTCTGGGCTTCCTCGGGCGCAGAGCAACGGATCTTAACGATCCGTGACTCAGGGGGTTTATAAACATCAACGACAGTGACGTCGTTTTTGGCCCAGACTTCCGCCTGGATAGACTCGCACGATCGTGGCAGGATTGTCTTGTCGATCTTTTTTGCCACGACCGTGCATTTAGCCTTTGTCTCAGGGAAAGGAAGGGGTTTAAAGCCCTGTTCAGCGAGTTTCCGTTGGCCGTTCGAGGAGAGGAAGGGGGTCAATTGTTCAGGCTCGGCAACAACAACCTTGTAGCCATTATGAACCTTGAAACAGTGGGTTACAGCAACTTCTGTGATGGAGAAGATTTTCTGGAGAGCCACCTCACAGGAGATGGGCTCCCCAGAGTATGTTAATTTGATTACGTGACCCATGATAGCATGGCGCAATGGGGATGAAGCTAATAGCATGAAAGGGTGGAAATGTGGTTCAAAGAAGGGAAGACACACTATGGCAATTTGCAGTATTTGTGTGTTAGGGCCGGTCGGGGTTAAAACCCTGCCGAACGGGAATTAACCCTTATAAGTTCGGCCGCTGGCATATAATCAAAAGCACTAGCCTCAAAGCAAGGTAAGTGTGATAACACCCAAAGTTATGCACACAAGAGCGAAGGTCGTCTTTGCGTGGGGGCGCCAGTCTCTTTAGCAAAGAAACCCACGCAAAAACCTTGGGACCTAGAGCTCCTGAGAGCCCTGGGTTGACCGGTCAAGCGCGGTCCTCATATCCGAGGAGGGGCAGCATGGGTACGCCCTGGGACGATGGTTCTTGCTGGGCAGCGCGGCGTGGGTGACACGTGGCCAGACTTGGCGTGGGGGCACCCACATGGCTAATGAACCCACGTGGCCTATACGTGCTTAATACACCGTATAGAGGGAAAGAGAGAGGAGAAGAATGAGAGAGAGAGAGTAGGAAGACAGAGAGAAAAAGAGAGGGAGGAGAGATATGAGAAAGAGATAGAATGAGATTAAAATCTTGCCATTATTATGGCCCCTTTCTTCACCAAGCAAGAAAATTTAGGGCGTGTCACTTCCTAGACAGGAGGCGTGCTGCCAAGTTTGGTCTGTCTTGCTTCCCGATATTGGCTGAGAGACAAGAACATGGACTGGAGTGGTGGTCGAATACTTCCTCGTTGGACTGCGATTGCGTTTCTTTAAGCTGTGGTTAACGCATGTCAGTGTTCCTACCTGTACGACGGTAAGAAAATATGTGACCTTGTTAAGCATGATTTGCGTACGAAGCAAATTCTGTATGTACGTACACGCGAAAAAAATATACATACATACATACATGTATATAGATATATATACATATCTATTTACATACATACATATATATGTATGTATATCCATTTTCATATATATATGTATGTAAGTATATGTATATATATGTATATATATATGAATTGAGTTTAGGAATTATAATCTTTGACAGCTCCACGGGATATTTCTGGTACCGATGAAAATGCCGTTTTCTTTAAATTTTGATAATTGTTGCACTGCTGAATATTACACTGGTTGGGATGCGTTGCATATGAAATAAAATAAATAGTCATGAAATCATGACCATTTATGAATCCGATGAATATGCAAAAATGCTCGTTTTCATATATACTGGTTGTGTCAAAAAGATAAAAAAAAAAAAAAATCTTCGTCCAACAGATTGCACTGTAAGGAAAGACTATGGTGGAGTTAAGATAAAAACTTTCAAGGACTGTCTCCGTGTGACCATCGCAAACTACAAGGAAAACGACGGTGTTGCCATAGGAATTATAGGCAAAACAGAGGCTCTGGCTCTAGACATATCGAAGAACAAGTGGATGGAAATTGAATGCCAAGTTTCAAGCAAAGAAGAGGGTGAATGACAGGAAGAGATGTCCAACACTGCAGAGAGGAATTCTGTTGAAAGAGCTTACGACTAAGGATGCCGAAGTTCTTGCTGACTGTCCTCAAGGTGAGGTCTCTTTGTTTTGATATTCTCAAGCAGTATACTTCTCCTTATATGTCCAGTCATACATGCATACACACACACAGACGCACATGCACACACAGACGCACACGCACACACATACAGAAATACACACACACATGTATATACACATATATATGTATATGTGTATATATGCATGTATATGTATATATATACATATGCATACATATATATAGATATACGTACATATATATCTATACATATATGCATATATATGTATATACGTATATACGTGTATATATATACATATATATAAAAGTATATTTGTATATAGATACATAAATTTTCCAGTCGCAATGTTTGCACACACACACACACGCACGAGTATACATATATACATATATGTGTAGGTGTGTGTACATATGTATATATGTACACAGACACATGTATGTCTGTACACACGCACAAACACACTCATGTGTATGCATATGTTATATTATTTTCATATATTATATTATATATAAATTATATATGTATATTACATATATCACATATATGCATTATATATATACATATAATATATATATTTATATAAATATATGTGTGTGCGTTTGTGTCTGTGTGAATATAAACATTTTTATATATAACTATGCTTAAAAAGGATATCCATTATAATGATTCTTAGGATTGCCAAATACAGAGCTCACCTCAGACACCTCGATCGACTTCCCTCGCTGGAGTTCCACGAGGGAACATTTCGCCGTTATTCCAGAAGAGAACCTGACTGTTAGTTTGTCCATATTTGGAGAAAACCTTTTCCTTTGTTGGGATGGAAAACAGACGGCAGTCAAGACGAGCAAGGAAGACTGTCAAGCCTTGTCAGCTCACGAGGTACACAAGATCACACTGGATTACGAGTCGCAGTAGATCAAGGTACAAACATGTATATTTGGTCTGTGTGTATCCAGTGTGAATATCCGAGGATCTTGGATTTATCTCCGTAGAGTAAGTGGGAATGATCGTAAATTCCCATCTCCAACAGAGTGCTGATGACCGCATTCTGAGAAGTGAATAGCACTCATGCAAATAAAGATGACTTGATGAAGATGAAGTCTGACGGAGGCAAGGCCTGGGTTGTGCAGTCTGGGAGATTGGCCTCACCTCCAGGACCAAGACCAGAGCACGGACAGCCAAACTGAGTGTGAGGACATTTTCCAGTCGTAACGTTTGGCTATATTCCTATGTTATGGAAATCTACCTATAATGTTGATTCAAGATATATATTCAATATCCTTTAACCTACATTATTTAATTTTTCCCCAGGTATATGTTCTGACAAAGGAGATATAACTCCAGCTCTTACTCTCTTTGTTCTCGCCACTGCTATGAATGGTAATGCTATAACATGGAATGCAATCTAGGAAAAGGTAAGGGCTTACTGACAGAATGAAAGAGACGAACGAATAAAAAACGCGGGATATCGTTTATTATAAACTTTACAAATTGGCTCTGTCATAAAGAGTATGAAAGGTATAGAAAGAGATAGAGAGGGAGGAATGGATCGTTCAAAGCTAATTTTAAAAATTCTGTAACGACGACAAGATGCATATCATTAATACATTATTCAACTAGGAAAAGAGGTCATCTCTTTTATCCGTCTCTGTCTGTCAAACTCTAAAATCTTTCCCTTTTCAGAAACGTTGACAATTTTCCTACTCTTCAGGGAACGCCAGTAGCATTCGCCAAGACTCTGGGACAACTCTGCCGCTGTCCCAGAAGGGGAAATGAGTTGATTTACCCATATTTGATTATTTTTCCATTGCTGGGTTTGGAACTCAGAGGGCCGTCAAGGCTAGCGCAGACTGTAATTAAATATCAAACTAAGGCTCAAATAACCAAATATAGAACAATACATCTCACCACTGCTGCACAAAAGTAGGGCGACTCCCCGTCAGCGCTTCTTGTTTACGTCTGGCCACAGGGTTAAGCAAGCGTACGTCATCAGTCTCACTGATCTGTGGTTGCGACATCTACTGCAGTGCTAATCCAGGTCTGTGCAAGTGTGTGTATATATGTGTAATTGTGTGTATTTATATGTATTTATATACATATACAAATAGATGTTTATACATACATATATAAACGCATATATAACAATCCTTCCTGACCTGGCCTCGAACCTAGGTCACTCCGGGTATGAGACCGGAGGGCCAGTACTAAACGAACCATGCCACTAAAAGGAGTGTGCAACTAGGATATAACTAGCTCCATAAACATTACCTATCTACTCACTCCCCGTGGGCACGGTGGAAATTGATTTAGAAATT